TTTGAAATTTTTTGGAAGTTGGACTCTCCAATACTTTCATTTTTCCTCAAGAAAAGAAAGTCAGAAGAGAAAAGAAAGAAAACACAGACATCATTTAAAAAATCTATGTCCCAAATTTGTACAATTTCTAATAGACTACAGAAAAAAAGTTACTAAATGGATAAAAATGTCATCCTTTTAAAGAATAAAATTCCTTTAGAATTATTAAAATAACTATAATACCTTGCTACCAATTCTGGAAATTCCTTTGTAATTTGCTTTATTATATAAACAATAAACCATTCATCCTCAATGTTATCACCAAACTTTGTCATGCCAAATATATGAGCAGGAACACCTCCTAAAAACAAAAGAAAAGCAATCATATAAACAAATAAATTTGTCACTGCAAGTAAAAATACAAGTAATCATTCAATTCAACAAACATTCACTGACTATGCTGTAGGTACTATACCGGGAGCTGGCGTTGCAATCCTGAACAAGATACAAAGCCTAATCTTGAGTAGCTGAGGGTTTAGACAACAGGAGATAGACAACAAAGGCAACTCAAAACAAGATGATGAACAGAGGTGTGCACTGAGGACTATGGAAACATAAAGGATGTGATATCTGAGTTACATTCCTCTGGAGGATTGACCAGAAGTACGCTTTCCAGAAAGAGAGAATCGTATGTGCAACGGCATAGAGGCATGATAGACAACAGAGACAATAGTGTTCTGGGAATATAAGGAAGTGAGATTTAGATGGAGTAAAATTTTCAAACACGTGCATTACCCAAAAACATGTAGAAATTAAACAACATAATCTTAAACAGCCAACAATCAAAGAAGTCACAAGGGAAATTAGAAAATATCTTGAGACAAATAAAAACAAAAACACAATATACCAAAACTTATGGGATGCAATGAAGCAGTGCTAAGGGAAGTTTATAGTTACAACAGATCTCAAATCAACAACCTAACTTTACACCTTAAGGAACTAGAAAAAGAATAAAAAATCCAAAGCTAGCAGAAGGAAGGAAATAATAAAGATTAGGGCAAAGATAAATGAAATAGAGAACAGAGAAATAGAACAAAATCAACTAAACTGAGCTGGTTTGTTGGAAAGGTCAACAAAATTGACAAACCATTAGTTACATTAAGAAAAAAGAGCGAAAACTCAAGTAACTAAAATCAGAAATGAAAGAGAACACTGTGAACAATTGTATACCAATAAACTGAATAACCTAGAAGAAATGGATAAATTCCTAGAAACACACAACCTATCAAGACTGGATCGAAAAGAAATAGAAAATCTGAACAGACCTATAACTAGTAAGAAAAATTGAATCAGTAATCAAAATTTCCCAACCAAAAAAAAAAAAGCCCAGGACTAGATAACTTCACTGGAGATTCTACCAACCATTTAAAAAATTAACATCAGTACTCCTCAAACTCTTACAAAACATTGAAGAGGAGGAAACACTCCCAAACTCATTTTATGAGGCCAGCATTGCCCTAATACTAAAGCCAGACAAAGTCAATACGAGAAAACCAGGACCAATATCCCTGATGACTATTGATGCAGAAATCCTTAAAAAAAATACTAGCAAACTGAGGCTCCAGAGGCAGGGAATAAGAAGCAAGTCGGTTTACATCTCCAATGGACAAGTTTTGGACAGCTGGTGTTAATCCCCAGGGAGATTATCTTGGATAATAGATTTCTTCTGCAATAGCTGAGTCCGTGGTTTTGTTTTTCAAAACTCTGCTTCAGCAAGATGTGAAAAAGAAAGGAGGCTACAGAAACTCACCTGATTCCAGGCATAATGATGGAAGAGGGCCCCCAGGAAACACCTCCCCCACCCCTGGAAGAATGGGTCAAATTAATCATCTGCGTGGTCCTAATCCTCTTCCAATGGCTGGTGGATGAGGATGGAAAATGTCTGCTGTAAGAAGCAGACAACTGGACATGCACATTCAGAGCAGAAGGAAACCATCAAGCAGTGGAGGGCTGACCAGGCTGGACAAGCAGATGAAC